CCCAAACTATATTATATATATTTATGGCTACTATATGAAATATATTTATGACAGAAGTGATGTAACTCTTAATACAGGTCCATCCACTGGCAATGATGTACATCAAGGAAATGCATACAGCAATGTTAACAAAAGTAAGTGTTCATATATGTAGACTCAAAAAAGTAATTCCTGGACTACTATGCCAAATAAGATAAGAATGCTCGTAGAATATCATAACATAATAATGCAATGTCGCAATAAGTTTAACCTGTATTAAGCACTGGCCACTTGATTGGGATTAGAAAGCAGAAGGTATATGATTCATGTAAGAGGTATAGTTTTCATAAAATTGAGACTAGAACTAAGCTGTTTAGGTGGATTGATATTCAGCGATGGCTTTGGTGTGAAAGCATATTGTCCCATTTTTTAAGTGAGCTTTGATATATAGCAGATAGGCAATTACTTTTGTATGTTTCTTTCTACAGCCCTTAATTCAGATGAGGATGTTAAGGCATCAAAGCCTAGTCATCAGGAATTGCAACTCAACTTGCAGAAAAATAATCAACACTGGAGACAGAAAAGATGAAAAAGTAAGGAGAAATTTTGAAAATTAAATCTAAATTGTGAATGCATATATATGATCATAAGTGTCTAGTTATTTGATGAAAGCCCTAGATAATTATCTTAAGAAATATTTACCAAGGTAAAAAAATAAAAGAAAAGAAAATATCCCTATGTTTGTACAATCATGAGCCTGAGCTAATATTATCGACACTGTGTAGAGACTGGACACTTTTTATTTTTTATTTCTTAATGCAATTAAAGGGCAAGTGTCAAATGAAAATCACTGGCAAACCACCATTCGGGCATATTAAGACCAGTGCTGGTGGGCTAATGCCTTGGTGTGAAAAGCAACTGAAGGCAAGCTCAACAGACAGGAAGGAGATTGGTATGGGGGACCATTTTCCAGTAGTCCCACAAATTCAGTCAGAAACTGACTTCTCCCCCTTGTCCAAGGATGATCCATCAGAAGTACATCAAGAAGTAGCAAATAGCAAGAAATTGAATAAGAAAAATGGGAGATTGAGCCAGCCAAAATACAAATTCATGGCACCGAAGAGGCCAGAGCCCGATTTAACAAAAAAGACCAATGACGAGAAACTTAAAAAGGAGGTAGGCATTTCCGTAAGTACTCTAGGAATTAAACGGCGAAAATTTATTTTAAGAGTTTTGCAGCTGTTTCATCTTTAACTTTTATTAGTGTTGCTGGATAATATTTGTAATGATTCACATGATTATTTTTATAGAATACTTTAATTTAAAATGTCCAAATAATTAATTCATTTATTATTTCTTAAATCAGGTGGGGGACAAAGGCCAATCTAAAGTAATTGGTAAACCACCACCTGGGCCTCTTAAGACTAAAGCTGGCCAACAAAAGCTTAGGTTTGCAAAGCAGCCAAAGGCAACCTCAAAAGACAGGAAGGAAATTAGTATGGTGGATCATTCTCCAGTAGTCCCACAAATTGAGCCACAGTCTGAATTTACTCTCTTGTCCAAGTATGATCCATCAGAAGTACGTAAGATTGTAGCAAACGATAAATGCTTTATGTTTTTTCTTGTGATATTCATTCTGCGTATGTGGTGGATATGACGCTTTTCTTATATTATGTTAACTGATCAGGTTTTAAAACATAATATTTTTGTTCATGTTAAAATGTCTGAGTAATATATACTTTTGATATCATTTTGATGGAGGTGAAGAGAAAGTTCCTAATTTTAGTTAAAGTAATAGGCAAACAACCAGACGGGCAAATAAAATGATTGAAAGTGGCAACTTTATTCTTATTATTTGTCTGATTAATTATTATTTCTTAAACCAGGTGAAAGGCAAAGGCCAAGCAAAAATATCTGGTAAACCACCACACGGGCAACTTAAGATCAATGCTGGCCAACGAAAGCCAAGGATTGAAAAACAGATGAACTCAATAGACAGGAAGGAGATTGGTGTGGGGGATCATTCTCCAGTAGTCCCACAAATTCATTCAGAAATTGAATTCCCTCCCTTGTCCAAGTATGATCTAATAGAAGTACGTGAGGATTTTACCAACTGCAAATGCTGTTTTATTTTTTCTTTTTCATACGATTTTCTTTTTACATGCATGCACTTAAATCAAAATGTAAACCAACAACATATTTTCTTGTATCTACTCAAATCTTAAAAGAACCTTTTATTTTTTATCAAAGGGTTTCTGAAAATTCAATATGAACTTTTATTATACCAATGTTAAATTGATATTAATCAGTATGATACATTTTCATAATGTTTATTTTTTATAACTTTTTTTCAAAATAGGCCAAGAAGGCAGTACGTACCAACATAGACCAAGAACATCATGAGATGAAAATGGCAGACATGACAAATAGTGGCTCCATGAAAACCGGCCAAGAAGAAGATTTTAAAAACAGCTCAACAGATAAGCAGACAGAAAACGATGTCAATTCGTTTTGTGAAAAGCAACAAAATCAACAAAAATCTGACTCCCCGTCAAAGTTTCTCATGGGAGTCGACCCGAGCATCCTCTTGATTAGACAGAATTCCACAGACAATGCTCAGGTATCAGACCAAAACATGGAGGCGTTTAACAGCATGGACCCCAGCATATTACTGATGGGCCCAGTCCTGGAAAGTGCACAGACATCAGAAAGCACGATGAACCGAGACGCCCTCGTTGTCTCGCATCTCTGCAAAGAAAAGCAGATTACAACCAGCCCCATCAAAAAGGTAAAAAATAAAATAAAAAACAGGCTAAACATAAACATAAATGTACGCAGATAAATGAGGTAAAAATCAAAATA